ACACAGAAGTTCACATTTTTTCACTGCACAGACCAATTTTCTTCCAGAACCCAAACGCAGATTAATTCAGTAAAACTCTTTCAGAGCATTTCATACAGCATTATGTGCCATTATCTCCAGAGTGATACAGCTTGAATTGTTTACACAGAGTCAAAATATTGACAGAGACCTGTTTGTATTTTAAGCAGTTACCCTGACTGCGATGAACTTTTCCTTATGAAACAATTTGATCACTAGTCACATTGCATTTACCTTCAGAGTACGCAGAAGCCACAGCCCCAGCTCTAAGAGCACACTGAGGAGGAAAATTTAATTCACTATGTTCCCCTGTGACCAAGTTGAAAACTTTCAAAACCTCTTTCTTTTGAGGGGACCTGATGAAATTCCTATTCCCTATAAATGAATGGGCACTACAGTGAAAATGCTTAAAAGAAATTAAGTTTATTATAGTAATTTCTGAAAAATCTCTTTGTTTGTGAGATGGGCCTTCTCTCTGCTCAGAAGACAAGAACAATAGTATTAATGTGAGGAGGACTACCAGTACAACTTCTGTGAAAGGAAACTTGCTGCTAGTTAAGGGACTTGGTTGAAACTCTCACTATAGGTAGTTGGAATTTTGTAGCTGTTTCTACTTATTTATCCTGTAAAGGAGTATTTTTTCTGCATGTAATACTTCTGATGACAAAACATAAATGAGAAACAGAAAATGAAAATTCGAGCTCTGGTAAAGTGTCTTTGCCTCCTCCTTTTGGCAAAAACCTCAGCCTAGGTATTAAACCAGAACATTGTCTTGTGTCTTGTGAGGGAAGCGTCTTCTCAGTTCTGCTCCCTTTGCATGTACAAACTCACCTACTGAGATAAAGCAAGAACGTGTTCCTTTACAGTGGCTCCTAGAGTCATGGACCACACTGAGCCACACTAGTCACTATTAAAGGCCAAAGGAAATCCAAACTGTTCCCCACAAATGCTGAATAGTATCTGCCTAATTCACAGGAATGTGGGGGAGATTTATTGGCATCTCTGTTGCCTCAGAGACCTAAATAACAATTGTCTTCAAGTAATAGATCTTCTCCCAAGAGTAGTCGGTGCATTTTCAGGTAGAACTGTGTACAACATTTAATTAATAACATCTTTTCAGTCAGATTGCAATTACAAACAAAAGATCATCTGGGTTTTTTTTACTGTGGCAGACAATAATCTTTAAAAAACAAAAGGTAAAGTGTCAGGAATGATTGCACAAATAGTGGAGTAGATTGTAATAGAATTAAATCATAACTCCCACAAGCAATATGGGAATGTCTCGCATCTAATGGTACATTATCATCATTAATGAGGGGATTTTAAAAGGGCCCCATGATACATTTCGATGTAAAATTTTAAGTGAGTGTTGTGATAAGGCGTAATTGTTTGAGGAACATATTCTGCCATCAGAAATAGGTATCTGCCAACAAGCTACTTGTTCCTCTTAAGGTAGATCTTTGGCACTCATCCAAATTTAAACTGGTAAAAGGAAGACTCATGGTGGTATATGTTAAAAAAAAAATCCAGCCTGGGGTATCTGAATGCTTCATATTTGGATTTTCTCTCTTACTAGTAGAAATCAACAATAATAATGTTTCAGCTGGTCATAGACCTCAGAGAGGTGTGGATGAAGTGCTGGTATTGCTGGTAATCTGCAAATATTACTTGCAGGTGCTAACAGGATTATTTCTTCCTACTAGCTGCCAGTGAGCAGTCCCACATATGCAGGTTGATATGTAGTAATAAGCTGATATAAAAAGGTCAAATCACCATGAGATTGACAACACATAGGCACATAATTTCAAAAATCTTGGCTGGTCAAAAAAAATTCATGGGCCAGTCAAAAAAAAAAAAAAGCCCCAAAACCGTATATGTGTCATTTAAATTCTTTACTGCTACTTCAGCTGTGCAGTGTGAGGGATTCACTGAATTCTGATGAGTGGATTTCTGGCTGGAAGCCGAATCTTTGCATTGCCTCACACATGATTTCTTTTTATTCCTAAATTTGTTCATGAGATTTTTCTATTTGAGTGGTTTGATTGGAACTGAGTGGTGTTTGGAAGCAAGTCTTATCATGTTTTCTTTGCAGGATCTGGAGCAAGTCAGGCTTCTTTCCTGTATGTGCCCCTACCCTGATGGGGAGAAACCACCTTACAATAGATACACAAACGCTCCGATAGTGGCTTTTGGTTGCCATTCTTTGCTCTGTAGTTTCTCTCAGACAGTCATGTCCATGCAGCATAACATCTTTACCTATCCCAAAGCTCTTTATTGAATACCTACTTGGTTACATGTGTACATGTGTAGATCCAGTAGGCACTTCCGTGAATAGAGACTTAGAGGTTCTGCAGCAGATCACAGCATCACTTAAGCACAAAGCAGAGACCAGGAGCTTATAATAAAATTAAACCAGAGTTGAAAAATCCTGTTTTCTAATAATGCAGTTGCTTGATTGCTGTTTGATTAACTCTAAATCTTTTTTCTGTCACAAGACTTGCTAATGTATTTGATTTAATCCAGTGCTTCTGTATACTAGTTTTGATGAATTCCCTTTTACTTCAGTATTAAATATGCAGATTTATTTTCCTACTGAGTGCTATGCAAAATTTTCATACGAATGCTAGAATGTGTGGGCTTTGCTACGGTTGTGCCTCTAAACTCAAAGTAGGCATTTCTTTACTCAATGTCTGTCATGTTAGAGAATCACAGAAGTATGTTCAGGTAAGCACTAACTTTAAGGGTAAACTCTCACTTGTTAAGGTAAGGGTTAAGGAAATTTTAAAATACATTTGCAGCTGTAAAAGTGATTTTTCAGCCTGACCACAGGTTTGGCCAGTTACTTCCATTTGTATTAAAACATTAGCAGATTAGGTCACTCCTTAGCCACACACATTTGTTCTGTGATTTGCAGCTTTGAGAATGTGGTAACTACTGCATGAAGTTATCCCAGTGAACAGGTTTTCATGCAAAACCAGTATTTGTTAGAAACTACCGCAGAAGCACTACCAGCACTTTCTCAAAATCAGAAGCAACTATCTCTTGTGTGGTCCTGGGCAATGCGCTTTTGCCATTTCTTTTTTTTCTACTGGCAGAGTATAGCACGTCTTTGGAGAGCATTTGGACTGCTGCGACAAAATGCTATTTAATTGCTGCTCTGGCCCCTCTCTTACACATGAGCTACCACAACCCATAAGTGCAGTGGTGGGGGGAGGTAGGTGCTGCAGGCGTGATGTGCTGGGTGTGGCCAGG